GCATTCGTGCACAGTGAGTTACAGGCAATTAAAGGCAAGCAATGCCACTTGCGTTTCTTTTGGAAGCCACTGTATAACGCTTATGACCAGTGAGGTAGAAGATAAATTAGTTATCAAAATCGACCAAAATAGTGATCATGCTCCCAAATTTTCTGTTGCAGATGATATTTCAGAAGTATATGGCCTACCTGGGATTCATGAATGTATTAACGGCCAAAAACCTTTAAGAGTCATGATTGACATAGATGTTTCACAAGAAGATATGGAAACAACTGATGTTAAGACGCAAGAAGTATTTTTTCAAATCTACTTATCTTTTATAAGAGCCTTGTATCGAATTCTTGATTATAGCTGGAAGAACATTCTCAATGGATTAGTAATCGCTACATCATCAGACTTTAGCAAGTGTAGTTATCATATTTTATATGCATTGGCTCTTCTTATTGATCATCACAAACTCAAAGCATTTATTGAATTAGTATATACTATAACTGAAAAAAATTCGGCAAGTTTATCAATTAAAAATTACTTGGTTAAAATTTTAACCTTTGTCTTATTCGTTCAGCAAAAAAAGGTTGTATAAAGCGCATTCTTCAATTCTTTCTAGATAATGGCTGGAATGAACTCAATCACATTAGGGTTTAACTACCTTCTAGTTTGGGACTTAAAATAAGACCTCAGATGCTTAATGAAAAAAAAAATAATAATCCATTAAGAATAATCATAGGTCAGGATGTATTGCAAAAATGCACGAAACTTGTTTTGCAAAAGCACTCTAATTATCTTAGGAATTAGACTATTAAAGAAAAGAACTTAGAAAATTTCATATATTTCAACCAGAAAGGTCCACTAGAATGCCTATTATGTAAATGTATATATGACAAGAATTAGCGGTGGTTTGGTCATGTATATGCCAGCAGTAGAACATTTATTGTAAAATGCTTTTGGCAAGGAAGTGATGAACCTGGGGAAGTTTTTGAATGTGACCCATCTATTGCAAAAAAAATTCAGAAAGAAAATAAAAATATATTTCTCTTCTCTTACAGGATAAAGAGTCTAGGTTTTCCTAAAACCTTTGTAAAAATGCTATTTTGGGTTAAATATAATGAAACCCTTACAGCGACAGAAATATATGAGGAGAGATATGTAAGACTATTACCCAATGAAAGTGATATCTATTACCTTGGAAGACAGAAAAACATAGGTTCTAGAACATCTTACTATATCTAATAATGTGAATTTACTAGTATTATCTATGCGTCACTCTTACTCAAATGCTATTACTACAAGACTTAATCTCAAATCATATTGTGATATTGATGGTAATATAAATCTACCTGATCACAAGAGGGTAGTTTGCCAGATAGAAAGCTTACATCAGATTACTAATAATTATAAATGCGGTAAAAATGTAAATACCCTCTAATCCAATATGATTTATGGCTTGATGAAATAGTATCTATAATTGCTCACAAAATCGTTTGGCGGGTCAATCAATAGAAAAGTTATATAAATTATTCCAAGAGGTGAGGCATATTATTGTTATAGATAATGACCTAACTGACCTCAATATTGAATGGATTAAAACCCTTTGCAAGGGTTTATTCATAATACTTACCAGCTTCAAAAAAGCAAGACGTTCCACTTGGTCTCTAATAAAGAAACTGTATTAGCTGAATTTTGGGATTGGGCTAAGAAAATGACTTCATTACCTATTGAGAATTGGAAAAGTGCTTCACTTATCTGCTATCTCAGAAAGGATGTACAAGGAATTGTTTGTGCTCTTAAGACTGATTTTTCAGAACTACGAATCAAGGAATATCATGGTGAATTAGATCTTGAGGAAAAGGCTCGCGATTTTAACAATGTAGAAGTATCATGGAAAGACTTAGACCTAATTGCTTATACTAGCACTTTAAAAATAGGAGTATCATATACCAATCCTAAGTTTGAGCAGAATTCTGTCTTTTTAATAGCTTTATAGAAACAAATGCTAGAATGAATCAGATATTATTTCGCATGTGATGTATTAAGAATTATATATGTAATATTGAATAAAGATCATCTAATGTTTCTATTACAGAGAAAGGATTATTCCAATGATTGTTGAATGCTAAACGAGAATGCTTTCCCTGAGAACTTTAGAATAGAGGAATTTTTCCAGATATAGATTCTATTAACCAGAATAAAGATGTATCAACTATTCAATTGTAGATAGCATATATGTTGGAAAATTTCCATTCCCAACGTTTATTTGGTTAGAGAATGGTTAATTTTCTCTGAAAGATAGGTATGGTAGTTTCTGTTATGGAATTCGTTCCTAAACCTGAAGATACTATAATATTGCTATCCCAAATAGTAAAGGTGAGTTCTTCTATTATTAAAGCAGAGGAGATATCAGATATATCTAATACTTTTATTGTCAATCATGAGACTGCCAAATTATTGGAGAATAAACCAAAGAAGACATTAGAAGAGATGCGCTCTTTAGACTGGCATCATATTATGGATTGCTATGGGATTTCACCTGAATTACTAACTGAAGACTTCATCTCAAAATATGGGAATTACAATCACATGAAATGGTTTAGAGCTTATAGGCAATTATGAGATGCTGGTATTAGTAATGAAACAGCAATTGAGGCTATTTCCCATAAAGATTATAGAGAAGATAGGCTTATAACTGCAACCTGAGCTGAAAGGCATCGAATTTGCCTTGAATTATTAAGAGTTTGTATACCAGCTAGGGATATCGATGATAAAATACGATATAAATCTAATAATGTTAAGATGCGTCTGAATTCTCCTGAGTTTTTATCATATCTCCATGATTTAGTTTCCAAAATGTCTTGAGGATTTGATAATACAGATGCATCGTACAGAGCTAAAAAATCAGAATTGAAAACAGATCAGGCAAAACTTAGTTTATTAAATTCAGCACTTTATGCAACTTATGGGCTGAAATTCAAGGCTATAGATAAGAATCTCAAATATTACCATTTGGTTGAATTATTTGATAGCAAAGACGCTCCTGAGTTACCTTTATACCAAACGGGTGAATAAATTTATTGGGAAAATGGAAAAGATACTTGATATGAGTATAGTAAACTCCTATCCAATGAATTATTAATGGAAAATCTTTTGGAGAATAAGCAGATCAAAGATAGTTCCAGTTCTAATATGAAAATTATGTCAATTGCGAATGATATTTAAGATTTATTTGATATTGTGTAGGTAGATTTTATTATAAAATAATCTGGATATACTACTAGACTTCACAAAAATATGTCATACATTCGAAAATAAGTCTTCTGCCAATATATATATAATAGATTACGCAGAAGACTTATTCTCAGAATATATTTCTTCCTTAGGTTCACAAAGTGAATCCCCTTAGAGCCTCAGATAAGTGTAAGAAAAATAACACTATCATTTGAAAAGACGCTAAAAGTGATAAACTAACAAGACTTCTATCTGATAATATCTAGTATATACATGAAGTCGAAATGAAAACCCAAAAGTCAAAATGTTTCGACTTTGAAGGTCAAAGTCGAAATGAAAAGTCAAAATGGTCGAAATTACGTCATATCACATGATTTTTATATATAGAAAAAACAA